TTCTTCAAAAATCAAAGTTTAGTAGTGTATAATGATTCACTGCATTCTGATGTGCCATTTATATCATTATTGTGTGTTCATTATCAAGATATATTGAAATATTTTACGTCTAATACTGTAATTATACTGGCACCTCACTAATTCATCAATGTCACTTGTTTGTTACCTAATAAGATGTATAACACTTAACACACACGTTTTGTTTGATTAGCATTCATGGCATTACTATAAGTTGCTTTGGAGCATCAATTGCTGGGCATTTCAGATGAAAAAAAACAAGCAAACGTGACCCATGTCATAAAAATAAGCTGTATAAGTACTTTACCGTGTTTCCGTGTCCTGCCAGCTGCTGAAACCACTCATTTCTGCAGCGTTTGTGACTCACTGCCGGTGTAATGTGTGGTGTGTTTCCAGGCGCAGACTGTTCAACAGGTCCAGCATGTGTATCAAGCACAGGTTCAGTATGTGCAGGAGGAAAACAACAGCGTTTACACCAACGGAACCATGTGAGTGCTACAGCCATGCATTTAATCCTTATGTTGAACACGAGCACAGATGTTTTCTTTCCCATTGACTGCTGTAGATTAAGCCAAACAATAGATGCAAACGTGAAATTAAGGGGTCAGTTCACACAAAAACTCAAACTGCTGTCATTAGTTAGTCTCCCTGTCTTCTTCACTACACAAATGAAGATGTTATTGATGAAATGAGCTCTCGTAACTATATACAATACCTCTGTAACCCGCAGCACATTTCATTTTGATTCATTCATTTTCTTTAGTCTCAGAGGTCCCCACAGCGGAATGAACCGCCAATTAATACAGCATATGTTTTACACAGCGGATGCCCTTCCAGCTGCAACCTAATACTGGGAAACACCCATACACCCTCATTCTCACACACACACACTCACTCGTACACCACGGCCAATTTAGTCCATTTCCCCTATAGCGCATGTGTTTGGACTGTGGGGGAAACCGGAGCACTGGAAGTGAAGGTTATGAGGAGAGTGTGGGGGTGCATGAGGGGGGCAGTGAGGGGCAGAGTTCAAAAGGGAGACGGTTCTGGGGAAAAAGCTGTTCCTCTGTCTGCTAGTTTTTGTCTAGAGGAACTTGAAGCGCCTGTCGGAAAGCAAAAGAGGAAACAGTCTGTGAGCAGGGTGAGAGGAGTCCTTAAGAATACTGCGTGCTCGGTGCAGACAGTGGTTCTTCCGTTGGCTGGAAATGTGGTCCTTTTGAGGCAGTTTTCACCCACTGCAGTGCCTAATGCTCAGCAACACAGCAGCTTCCATACCAGACTGTGACGCAGTTGGTTCAGGATGCTCTCTATCGCGCAGTGGTAGAAGTACACCAAGGCAGATGAAGATTTAACAAGTGTTTGGTCTTTTCTGGACACTTGCTGTCTATGCAGGATGAGAGAGCGCTCGCATTTCATCTGAAACATCCTCAGTTGTATTCACAAATCATAGAAGACTGAAAAAACATGAAGGAGAGTAATTAATAACAGTTTTTGTGTGAGTTTACCCTTTAAACTGGTTCCCAACACTGTTTAATATGTCTTTCTGGTGTGTGAAGGCGAGTGAAGGATCATTTACAAATCTGAATGAACACGCGCATGCTACAGTCAGAATTATTCACCCTCCTGGGAATTATTTATTCTTTTTCTAAATGTTTCCTAAATGATGTTGAACAGATTCAGGGATTTTTCACAGTATTTCCTCTAATATTTGTCTTATTTGTTTTATTTTGGCTAGAATAAAAGCAGTTTTTAATTAGTTTTAAACCCATTTTAAAGTCAATCTTATTCTATTTTTACCCTTCAGCAATATTAGTGTTGGATTGTCTCCAGAACAAACCACTGTTATACAATGACTTGCCTAATTACCCTAACTTTACCCTAATTACCCTAGTGAAGCCTTTACATGTCACTTTAAGTGTCTTGAAGAATATCTAGTCTAATATTATGTGCTGTCATCATGGAGAAGAGGAAATAAATCAGTTATTAGAGATGAGTTATTAACACTATTATGATCAGAAATGTGTTGAATAATTCTGGCTTTGACTGTGTAGGCCTGATGATAGGCTCTCAATAAGAGCAGAAAGAGCAGGTTTGGTCTCTAATATCATCATAGATGAAAGTACAAAGTGCTTTCCTGACAAAACAGTCATGTAACAGTGTTGCTCAGAGTGACTGCCGCTGTCACTGAAACCTGCTGCTCGTGAGAGACTGGAGTGTCAGTCAAGGGTGTTCAGTCACCTGAAAATGACCACGAGGATCAGCGAGTGAGGAGAACAAGAGCACTTTACAGAGCAATCTGCAGAAACGCTGACCGCTACGGCAGGAAAGCACTTCCAGAAGCAACCCTCTCAGCTCGGGTCAGCTGAAACGCTCCCGAGAGCTTCTGTCTGACTCCGCTCATATCGTTTCATATTTAGAAATTCACTCAGCGAGAGGCTAAGATCTTTTAAATTGACTATTATAAATAAAAATGCCATCAGGCGCGAGGAGAAAGCACACATCAGAACGGCAATCAAAAGCAATGTTCTCTATAAAATAGTTATGCTTTGGTGATTTCCGTAACCATGGAAACAGCACTCTCACCTGAAGCTGAAAGGATGCGAACCCATCAAGACACGACTTATTATGTTTCCCCGAGTCAATTAAAGGAGAAGCGTACACACGCGCGCGCACCGCTCATCTAAATGGAAAATGTCAGGAATGATTTGAGGGAGAAAACAGCTGTGCTTCCGGATTGATGAGAGAATTATTATTTATTTATTTAAAGTTTGGTTTATTTGTTTACAGGGTCAATGCACATTAATAAACATTACCAGAAAATGGGTCAGAACTAGCCAAGAATGGCTTTTTTCATCTGTAGACCCCTGACAGAATGTTCAAAAATCACACCTAAAAATAAAACAAAGCGTAATAACACAAAATACACTATCATTTATGTGTACGAATCCACTTTTGCTATTTTAAGGATGGAACAATATGTCCTGCACCCCAGCGCATGGTCTAACAGGGCTGTGCTGATTCTCTTATTGAGTTCTGGTTGTGTGTTGAGCATAACCTGCATTAAACCAATCAGAGTCTCTCGTCTCTCATTCCCTTTAAGAGTGAGTTGCGTCGCTCTATGGTGCATTTGCTATTTACATGGCGACTTTGTAAGTGTAAAAACTGAACGATTCACTAGCGAGAACACAGCTAAACAGAGCATCTGCAGCATGAGGATAAAGAACGAGCCTCCTCCATTCAGCCTCTTTACTTTACTCCTTTACTTTAGTGGAGTGAGGAAACGGTGGAAACTCTCTCCACTGAACACATCCATTAACCCACATATTTAATCTCCTTTAAGCGCAAAGATTTGCTTCAAAACTGTTTCTAAATTCAGTTCTAATCTCCAGCAGAGGAATAAATGAACAATAATAATGAAGTGTGCTCAGAAAAGTATGCAAGCACACGTCCTGTTCTTATGCTCCATATGCTGATGCAGACATCACCAAAACCCCACAGCTGGACACATCTACACTCGTGTTTATTAAAGCAAATATAAATGTGCATATAACCAATAATACTGCTGATATTAATGAGGCATGGAGGCATTGGTGTTTATATAATGCAGAAAATCATCTTTTTTATAATATTTTAATTCTTTAATTGTTTTCATCTGTCGAGATATTTGTGTTGCTGTACATCCTGTTTATTCAGCAGTGAGTTTTTTGTGTGGCTCTGTAATATATGAGGACTCTTGACTGCAAAACCAACCTACCTTTGCGTATAAATAAAGTAATCTAAGCTAACCTATCAAACTATGTTTGTAATGTAAAATATAAATAATGGTTTATTTTTAGAAAAAGTCTCCCACTTGTGATGTTTGATGAGTGGGTTTACGTGATTTAGGCTCTTGAGGCCTTATTTTGAAGAGAGTGTTTTATGTCTTGATGTTCATTTGTGATTGTGTCACTGTGAGATTTGGTGTGGCTCTGTTATGAACGAGTAAAACGTTAACAGTGCAATGCAAAACCATACCTTCAGTCACTCGCAGTTACTTCTCAGTGACTTTTTCAACACAAACCGCTGTTATATGCTATAATAATTAATGGAATGTGACAGAATACCAGTTTGCAATGTCAGTTCCTTCATGTTGTCACAAAACAAATCAATTATGTTAACTTAATTATTTCTTACTCATGTAAGTGGACTGAACATAAATGAACTACATTCTCCCAAAAACCCTTAAGAATTGAGTTGTTTCAGCTCGTTTTATATAGTTGTTTCTGTGACTTGTAGGGTTGGGCGATGTCGACCAATTTGGCATCGTACGATGTCTAATGTGAAACATCGCTATGGACGATGGCATCGATGGCAAGGGTGCGCAAGGACAAGGTGGCAAGGATGGCAAGTATGGCAAGGACGCGTCTCCCTCCCGGTCTTCAAATAAGTCGCGCACCCTTGCCATCGATGCCATCGTCCATAGCGATGTTTCACATTAGACATCGTACGATGCCAAATTGATTCCGGGGGATTATCACTCGTTTGCGGGCATTATGAGTCCCGCAAGTGGATAGAGACTCCCGGAACTTCCGGGACACTTGGTGTCTGAATATCACGTTTAACATCTATAGTGAGACGCGATCCAGCAGTACAGTGATCTATTCTCTAGGATAAATAAAGTAACCTAAGCTTGTGCTGTGTTCAGACGGGCGTACTCGTACTCGGAGCCACAGCTCTACAACCAGAACAGCAGCGGGAACTACTTCGACACGCAGGGCGGCGGAGGCAGCGCGGCACAGGTCAGCACCGTAGTGTCCACTCACAGCATGGCCAACAACGGCAACGGCACCGGCGCTCTGGCTATGGGGCTCACCGGAGGCCAGATCATCAGCAGCTCAGGAGCTTATCTGATTGGAGGAAACTCCATGGATGGCTCCGCCCCTCACGGCGCCGCACAGACCACCAGAGCCTCCCCTGCTACGGTAAGCACCAATCACAGAACGGTTTCAGTTGTGTTGCTCTTTTTAAATGCGCAGTTTGAACAAGTCATGTTGGAGTGTAGTTCAGCTACTCCATTTCAAGTTAACAGATCTGTACTCTCTAAATAAAGGCGAGAGGTTCTTTAAAAGCTCTCACTTTAACGGAAGCTAGATATAAACATCTTAAAGCTGAATTAGTCTGGATTGTTTCCAATACTGAATGATCTAGAATCTTTGCATGCATACATACTCATTCAGACAGCTCCTCCTTCAAAATCTGAGCAGAAGCAGGAGAAATAATGAATAAGAGTCTTTATGTCAGAGACACATATGTTGTCTTGCTGTGTTCCCTATGCAGACAACTCATTAGGGTTCGGAACGGAGCCAATGTGTACGTCTGTGGCTAGAACAGATTGATTTGAACGTCGGATGTTGCATTGAGGGAGTTCATTAAAGCAGTAATAACTTAATTTCAACCAGCTTTTTCTGCATTAAATGATGCAGAGTTTGATAAAGAACATTATAAATAAAACTACTGCACATCTAAACAGTCCGATTGATGATTATTAGTATTATTAAGAAGAACTCTATTACTAATAATTGTGCACACTATATTAGCGACCCATGTGATTAAATATGAACCAATACATATTTGAAGCATGTTAAACTGTATTGAAGATGATTTAAAATAATAATAAAAAATTAGGTTTTCTATATGTATTGTGTCATTTTTTTAAGTTATATATTTATGCTTTTATTTTTGAAGAGTAAAAGAGAAATGTTCCTCTATAATAAGCATTGTTGTTGGTCTCCTATATGGTTATTTTCAGTTATTTCATTTTAACGGCAATAAAAAAGAAACTATTCATCACTATCAAAGTAAAACTACTGAACTTACAGACACTTGGAGGCTTTTGCATCTGAATTTGTTTATTATTTTGTTATATGTTAAATCATTTAGTTTAGTTTATTTAAAATATGACAGGACAGGGTATTGCAGCACAATTCCCAGAAATGGGTCAAACACACACTCGAGACAATATTTGACTAATAAAACACTGTTATTTGACTTGATAAACAAACATAGTAAAATCATTTTAAAAAAGCATTAAGCATCAAACATTATGAATGATCTATCTCTATACATTTTAATGATTCCAAATGAAATTCTTTAAAGATTGTGTCAATCAGAAGCTGCTGAGACTTTTATTTCAGTATGTTAATGCACTTCTGGATTAATATGAATGTTAAATAGGGGTGGGGCTTTATTTCAGTGTGTCAGTGTACGTTTAACTGAATATTGAGTTGTGGGTGGGGCTTTATTTCAGTATGTTAATGTTCTTCCAACTGAAACTGAATATTGAGTAGGGGCGGGGCTTTATTTCAGTATGTTAATGAACATTCAGCAGAAACTGAATATTAAGTAGGGGCGGGGCTTTATTTTAGCATGTTAATGTACTTTTAACTGAATATTGAGTAGAGGTGGAGCTTTATTTCATTATGTTAATGTCCTTTCAACTGAAAATGAATATTCAGTGGGGGGCGAGGCTTTATTTTAGTATGCTGATGTACTTCCAGCTGAAACTGAATATTGAGAATATTAATGTACTTCCAACTTAAGCTGCCTATTGATTTGGGGGTGGGGCTTTCAGTTTTTAATGTATTTTTAACTGAATATTGAGTAGAGGGCGTGACTATTTCAGTATGGTAATGTCCTTCCTGCTTAATATGAATTTTGAGTAGGGGGCGGGGTTTTATTTTACTGAAATTATGTATTTCTTACTGAATATTGAGTAGGGGAGGGGCTTCCTTTTCGTGCATCATTACCTCATAGCAAACTAACAGTAAGAGGGGCGTGACTAAAAATATGGTGTCTGAAACTGACATCATCAGAGAAGCAGCCAATCCAAATGAAGAAGCAGATGCTCAGACTGAAGATTACCAAAACACACAGATTTATTCAGTGGATTAACTTACTCAGATTAACTATTCACCTAAACATTAACAATGTGCGCTAGCAAAATAAACATTGTACAAATCTAAAAATAAACAGTTTGAATGTCAAACGTTTAAATATTAAGTATATGGCAGTGGTCCAGTGTGTGTGCTGGACGCTGGTGAGTGTGTATGTGCTGTTGGTGCTGGGCTGTAGTGTGTGTGTGTGTGTGTGTGTGTGTGTGTGTGTGTGTGTGTGTGTGTGTGTGTTGCGGTGGCTGGGTCTATTTCTGCTGCTCATCTCTGCTGGTTTCAGTACGGCTCTCTGTCGCTGCAGCCTTCATTTGATTTTTATTTGATTTATTATTCTTCCCTCCTTGTTTTGTTCTGTTCTCCTTTCTCCTTTTGCTCTTTGGTCTATCAGATTGAAATGGCGATTGAGACGCTCCAAAAGTCTGAAGGTTTATCCAGTCAGAGAAGTTCGCTGCTCAACAGCCATGTAAGTTGTAACCATGACGACCATGAACAGCTTTGCTTTGCTTGTTTCCTAGCGATCTGCTTTGGTACTTTTTGCGCTTTTTCCGTCTCTACAGCAGCCACGTCCATCTCTCCATCTAATGTTGTCTGTATTGTGGTGTTGAATTGCGTTTTTTGTTATATTATTAAGAGTTTGATCATTGTTTTTTTTTGTGTGTGAATAAAATTGTGTGTTAAAATTGTCTCTCTATCTCTCACTTTCTGTCGGTCTTACAGCGAGAAAAATAGGTATTGCTCTAAAGGAGCTGTTGACATGGAGTTGAACCTGATTTTGGTAAATACTAGGGCTGTGCGATTTGGGGAAAATATCCAATTACGATTTTTTTTATATAATAGATTTTTTTGACAGATTTTGCTATATTTAAAAAAAATGTTAATGATTTTTTTTATCTGACAGATGTTGTGATTATTTTTATTTATTTATTTTTTATTTATTATTATAATTTTTTTTATTTGACAAATGTTGCAAATTTTTTTATTTATTTTTTATGACTTTTTTTATTTGACAGATGTTGCATTTTTTGACAGTTTTTCTGATTTTTTTTTTTTTATTTTATTTATTTATTTTATTTATTTATTTTTTATTTGACAGATGTTGCGTTTTTTGACAGTTTTTGTGATTTTTTTTTTATTTGACAAATGTGTCTATTTTTATTTTTTAATTTATTTTATTTTTTGTTTTATTTGACTGATGTTAAATTTTTTTTTTTATTTTTATGATTTTTTTATTTGACAGATGTTGCGTTTTTTGACAGTTTTTGTTATTTTTTTCAATTTTATTTATTTTATTTATTTATTTTTTATTCGACAGATGTTGCGTTTTTTGACAGTTTTTGTGATTTTTTTTTTGACAAATGTTGCTATTTTTATTTTTTAATTTATTTTATTTTTTGTTTTATTTGACTGATGTTACAATTTTTTTTAATGATTTTTTTATTTGACAGATGTTGCTTTTTTTGACAGTTTTTGTGATTTTTTTTTTATTTATTTATTTTATTTATTTATTTTTCTTTGACAGATGTTGCGATTTATTTTTATTTATTTTTTTATTATATTTTTTGTTTTATTTGACAGATGTTGCAATTTTTTTAATTGATTTTATTTTTTGTTTTATTTGACTGATGTAACAATTTTTTTATTTATTTTTTACGATTTTTTTATTTGACAGATGTTGCGTTTTTTGACAGTTTTTGTGATTTTTATTTTTTATTTTATGTATTTATTTTTATTTGACAGATGTTGCGATTTATTTTAATTTATTTTTTATTATATTTTTTGTTTTATTTGACAGATGTTGCAATTTTTTAAATTAATTTTATTTTTTGTTTTATTTGACTGATGTTACAATTTTTTTATTTATTTTTTACGATTTTTTTATTTGACAGATGTTGCGTTTTTTGACAGTTTTTGTGATTTTTTTTTTTTGACAGATGTTGCGATTTAATTAAATTTTTTTTATTATATTTTTTTGTTTTATTTGACATGTTGCGTTGTTTTTTTTTTCGTTTTTGTTTTTTTCTTAATTTACGATTTAATTTTTTAGTCAAGCTTCAGCTCAATATTCTGTATCGTAGCTTGTTACTGCTAAAATGCAGTGAGTGTTAGTTTAAAAAAAGGAACTGAATAGATATTCATTCATTTTCTTTTCGGCTTAGTCCCTTTATTAATCTGGGGTCGCCACAGCGGAATGAACTGCCAACTTATCCAGTATATGCTTTTACACAGAGGATGCCGCAACCCTTTAGCTTTATTCTGTATTCTCTATTGGATTCGGATCAGGTGATTGGTTGGCTAATCTTCAATAACACTGAGGAAGGACAGAGGGTTACTGAAAAACTACTAAGAGATTTCAGCTGCTGTCTGGGCTTTCACTACCCAAATACACCTCCATTTCTTCATGTGTTCAACACTTTTATCCTGCGTCATTTCACTTTATTAACTTCATTTGTGCACTAATTCGATTTGTTTTCTTTGCATGCATGGATTTCTTTGGTTGTTACCAACATCTGATAAAAATTTCGAGTCAACAGCACCTTTAGAAATATGTTTTCTGAGAAAAATAGTGACGTGTTCAATACTTATTTACCCCAAAGCTTTTCTTACATAGAGTTTATCTTGTTTCTAGTCCAAACATCTCAAAATTCCTAAATCAAGAAGTTTTTTCCAGACAAGCAACTCAATGAAAGGTTCATGTTGAACCTTTAGAAAAAATACTAAATGTGTTGTTTTGACTGAGTGAGCGTGTTGTTCTCCTCAGCTGCAGTGGCTGCTGGATAATTACGAGACAGCAGAGGGCGTGAGTCTGCCGCGCTCCACCCTCTACAATCACTACCTGCGCCACTGTCAGGAGCAGAAGCTGGACCCTGTCAATGCTGCGTCCTTCGGGAAGCTCATCCGCTCCATCTTCATGGGGCTGCGCACACGCCGCCTGGGGACACGGTAAACACACACACACTCCGCTCACTGCACATGATATAATCAATATATCGAGATGTTGAGCTCTGCTCTGTCCACTTCTGATGTTGTAAATTCACCTCTACAGTTTAACAAAGTGACTTTATTGACATTTTAGTGGCTTGAAATAATATCAGAACTAATATCTAGAGAAATAAGTGTGTAAAATAACACTAATGTGCTGCAGGTTATTACAAGGCTTCTGTAGCATAATATACAACACCAACACACACAATACAGCACTGCACACTATCACTATTATTCACTATAATATAATATCACTATTATGTTTTTTTTACTGAACAACCCCTTTCCCAACAATTTTACCCCTAACACACGAGGAGATGCATAAAATTAAATAAAAATAATAATGACATTATCATAATAATAATAAAAAATGTATTAATTAATAAAATAATAATAATAATGTAAAATAAAAGGTACTGGCATCATAATTACTTCACAGGGGATACATTTGTACATCAAGTTACATCATGTTGCATTGTAGCTACACCAAGTTACAGTGATGACAGGTAAAGCAACCTCTAAGTATACATATCTAAAAAAAAAATAATAATTTTTACTAATACTTTCCTTCTTAGACTTTACAGACCTGAAACTTGTCTATAGCACTTATTCATTGTTGCTCTTATAGTTGTGTAAATTGCTTTCTTGTCCTTTTATTCCTTTGGATAAAAGCGTCTGCTAAATGACTAAATGTAAATGTAAATCTAAATATGTCATAATACTTTTCCATCTCTTCAGTCATTGTTTTCATTATATAGAGCTGTCTAAGTCTCTGAATCCACTGAGCCACCTTTGGAGAACTTTCTTCCATCAAATGTGCTGTCATATATTTTTTTGCATCCAGTAATAATATCCTTAGGACAAATCTTGTTTCCTTATTAAACATTTGTTTGGACTGTGCTCCCAGTACGCACATAACTGTATCGAGGGGTATTTCTATGTCTAATATCTTAACTATTTCTTTTTGAACATATTTCCGAATATCTTGTATCTTAGGACAGTCCCAAAAAATGTGGGTATGATGTCCAATTTTACCAAATTTTCTCCCAACACAAAGCTGCAGATGGTCCTTTTACATATGTAGATATTACAAAAGGAGTGTTCATTCATTCATTTTCTTGTCAGCTTAGTCCCTTTATTAATCCGGGGTCGCCACAGTGGAATAAACCTTAACCAGCAAGTTTTTACGCAGTGGATGCCCTTCCAGCTGCAACCCATCTCTGGGAAACATCCACACACACATTCACACACACACACACACACTCATACACTACGGACAATTCAGCCTACCCAATTCCCCTGTACCACATGTGTTTGGACTGTGGGGGAAACCAGAGCACCCGGAGGCAACCCACGCGAACGCAGGGAGAACATGCAAACTCCACACAGAAACGCCAACTGAGGCGAGGCTCGAACCAGCGACCTTAAAAGGAGTATTAAAGTACCTTATTTTCACTTTCCAATCAAATTCTTTGCACATTTGATTGTTAATTCCTTTATGACATCCTTCACATAACTCAGTCCAGACCTCATCCTCGATTATGGTATTTAGTTCTAGTTCCCATTTTCCTTTAACGTGATCTGTATTGTGAACAGTATTATTTATATAAATGGCAGACATGTTTTTTAGCTGGAATGTTTTTTTTCTGCAATATTTTACTTGGTTCTTGCGAGACTAGAGCTTTTTCCTTATGGTTTGTAATGAAATGTCTTATTTGGAAGAACCTGCACATATCTTTCGGTGAAATATTAAATTGTTCTTGCAGTTGTGGGAATGATTTAATTTCGTTTCCAATGAATTATTACAAATGTTTTCAAAGTTAAAACTTGTTGTAAGAAAGATCAAGATCCCATAGTTCGATTCAAAAGCAGAAATAAACAGCAAAAATAAAAACAGAACATCACAAAATATGGAGAACTGCTAATTTACGGATATTTTTACTGTGCATTTCTTAAACTGAACTGATGTTTATTTCTTAATGCCTAAAAGCACACTAAAATCAAAAGACATAATGATTTTAGAATGGTTTTTACTTCTAAAATATGACTATAATAAGGCTATTTCTCACTGTTGATTTTAATGCACCCAATGATTACTAGTGAGCCTGTAAAGTATTTCCTATTACACTTTAATTAGTTTACAACAGTTTACTCTGAACATGTGCAATACCCTAAATATTTTCTACATGTTAGTCATCTTTATTGCAGCCTACTATCACTATCTTGATTATACCGTACACATCGGTCCTTCGTTAATCACGGGAGTTACATTCTAAAAATAACCCACAACAGGTGAAGTCCGGGAGGTAGTCAGTTTTATTGTTTACAATTATTATAGATGATTTAAGGCTGTAAGACCCCTCACTGCACACTTTATACACTTTTCTCAGACAGGCATTAACATTTCACACTTTAGTATAGTTTGTATCTTATTTTAATGGATTTCTGTTGGTCGGTTATCTAGATAAACAAGAATAATGTGCTTCAAAACCAGTCCGCTATATGCTTCAGTGCCAAAGCACAAACTGGTTTGTTAAATAAAATAATAATCTCGCCTAAATAAAATTAAAGTGGAATATTCACAGCTGCAAAGAAGCCTTTATTAAACTGTTTTCATTGTTAATGAAATTTCATCCATTGCCAGTGAGTTTTAATTTAATTAGTTTAATAAGGTAATTTGAATAAGCAGGACAGGCTTTAACAATGTATTCGCAGATTACCTCAGAAGAATGAACTTGGTAGGAAGGCTGAGAGAACTCAGAAACTCATTGTGAGAATGAAGATGTCTGCATATTTGTGCCAGACTGTCAGATAAAGTTGCTTAAAACACCTTAATATTTTAGAAAATTTGCATAACCAATGATTAATTGGACGTGGCAGAAGATCGGGGAAAAATTAAAGTAAATCTGACACAGACAGAAGTCTGATCTCCCACTGACTGACGTGCCTCGTGTCTCGTGTTCTTCTTTTGCATTCAGAGGGAACTCAAAGTATCATTATTACGGGATTCGTGTGAAGCCGGACTCTCCTCTGAACCGCTTGCAGGAGGACATGCAGTACATGGCACTGAGACAGCAGCCCGTCCAGCAGAAGCAGAGGTAAACCCCACATTTACACCGCAGATCACCATGCTCATATACGACTGATACAGTTAGTCTATGCTGACGTTATCTTCAGCAGCTCAAACACTCTAATGGCGAATGGACAGACGGCTGCTTCCCACTCAGGGCTGCTGGACATGCTAATGAGGGAGAGATGGGCACTAGTGGGCGGGGCTTTCCCCCTCTGAGAATGTCAATCAGAGTGCTTCTGCAGACTGTTTATATCAAGTCTGATTATAACAAACACAAGTCATACAAGTTGACCATTAGAAGCTGCTTGTATTCACACCCTTAATGTGTACTTCGGGTACAATTAAAACGTTTTTTAGTGTTGATCTTACAACTGGATTCCACGTCAAGGCTTTTGTCAGGTAGTGTAGATTGTTATCTGTCAACAATGCTAACATTCAGCACAAATACATACATTTCTCCTTTCTGCCGGTTCTTTCTGTGAGGGAATTCTGCAGAATCGCAGTGCTGGCGTCTCTCCTCCTCTGTTAGTGATGATATTTCCAGCTTTTTGGCTAAAAAAAAGAGAGAGAAATCCCTCATTCTCTGACTTGGCGGTCAGCAGGAGGTTGTAATGTTCCCCTAATGGTGGGACATCACGTGAAAACTATCAATACTGTGAACAGAACCAGACTGTGGCCTTGGTTTAATCATTGCAGGAAGACAGGCAGCAGGTTACGTTGTGGTTCAGGGCTCTTGTCTCCTTTTGTTTCTCTAGATTTAAGCCTGTGCAGAAGATGGACGGAGTTTCGGGAGATAACTTCAGCAGCGCTGGACAGCACACACCCAATGCTGCAGAGCAGACCTTCATCGCTCAGAGCCAACATCATCAGCAGTTCCTGGGTGAGATCACGCACCATCACCACACCACTATTCTATGCACATTTTAAATAAATAAACTCGCTTTAGAGAGTAAACTATCTGTGCTTCAGTGGTTTAGTGTTTGATCAGATATAAGTGTGTGTATGTGGGTGTTTGCGTCAGTAATGTTGGTGTGCAGCTCTCCATGTTTCCAGCTGTCCACTGTGTCAGATGTGAGATGTTGTGCTGATTGTAAAAGGCCTCCGTCAGTCCGTCATCACAATGCTTCAGTATTATTCTACCTCTATTATTATTCCCTCCAGAACTGTCTCTACCATCTCAAACCTCCAAAAGCCAAGTCATTGCGTTTGGTCTTGGTCTTCTGAGGCGCAGCTCATTTATTAGAGGTGCAACAGTGCAGCAGAGTCCACTTCTCTCAGTGATATCTGTGCATGTTTGGCAGGAACTGAGGAGTTTCTTCTCCTCTGTTTCTTACTGGATGGAAACGCTGCTTTAATCGCAGATATTTTGAGCCATATTCTAGTTTTGTGCATACATCTAATCGTCATCTCTGGATGGAAACACTGCCACTGACACCCCGCTGCTCACATTGATGCTCCAGAAGAGCGTTCCTCAGTCTGTCTATATGTCTGTCTGCTCCTCTAGATGGCTCCAGAGCTCTGCCGGAGTTTGTTGAACTGGATCTTGGAGAGGCAGTGGACGGCGTCGGCCCAGAGGATGTCAAAGCCCTTCAGACGCTCTACAGAGAACACTGCGAGGTCAGATCTTCACGTACACAAACACTGAGATGCTGAAAATCTAAAAACTGTGCATTCCAGCAGGGTTTCCTCAGGGTCTTAAAGAAAAAAAAATGTAAACAAATTTAAAAAATTGAAGTTTTAGGCTAAATTTTGAGATCACATGTGTTTTTATTCAATGCTTTAACTCAACTGAACAAGGATGAAAGAGTAGACTGCAGCACAATGCTTTTCCTAGATGTTTTTGTTTTGTTTCCAGTCCAAATATCTAAAAGAACTTAAATCAAGAAGCATTTTCTAGACAAGTAAAAGAAGATTGTCTTGTTTTCAGAAATAATGAGTCAAAATAAAGTCTGTTTTTCTTTAAAACAAGCTAAATAACCTGCCAATGGGGGAAGCAAAATAATCTCATGTCAAAAGGAAAAACAAGATTATTTTGCTTACCCCGTTGGCAGGTTATTTAGCTTGTTTTAAAGGGCTCCTATGATGTAAATCATCTTCTGTGAGCTGTTTGGACAGAACTGTGCAGGTATAGTGTGTCCACAGTCACATTGGGGTGACAAAAAGTCTCTTTTTTTATTTCCTGATGGTAAATTGGGATCCAAATCTCTCATTTTGAGGCCCATTGTAATGTGATGTAGGAGTGTGGTTTCCCCGCCCACTGAATTGATTGACAGCTGCGTATTAACATGTCTAAGTAGTAACACCTATAATCATATCATCAAGACAGGACTTGTTTATTGTTTTGTCCTATTTCTATACTCATTTTCATTTTCTAATATTTAAGTTATAATTTATTTATTAATTTTTAATTGTTTTTCTTTGTATGTTTTTATTTTGGTAGGATATATGTGGCGTTTCATTTCACTTTGTGTTATGGTGAAGGAATTTTTTTATTTTGTGTGTAATTATGTCTGGGAACTAGGGAAAAATAAAGCAGATTTCACATAGGTTTCCCTTTTTTCCAGTCGAAATCTTGTTTGTGAATCATTTTTAAGATGTGGTCATCATTCTCTCCATGCAGGCCATCCTGGATGTAGTGGTGAACCTGCAGTTCAATCTGATCGAGAACCTGTGGCAGACGTTCTGGCGCTATTCTGCCTCCAGCTCTGTAGAGGGCGTCACAATCACAGAAAACAGGTACACCGCTGCTGCAGCTACTGCCACTCATTTACTAGAGAAAAAAAAACATCACAGAGACAGATCCCAACACAGCAAACTACATTTATCTGAGCAATATCTGTGCACGTTCAGCAGGAAGTGATCATTTTGTTATCTTTTGTTTCTCATTGACTGGAAATGCTGATTTGTTCACAAATAAAAATAATAATTCCTCACATTTATATAGCACTTTTCTAGACACTCAAAGCACTTTGCACATTTTTTGGGGGGGAGGGGGGGTCTCCTCATCCAAACACCAGCTGATTGGTGGAGAGGAGACAGAGTGATGAAGCCAGTTATGATATGAGGAGGGTTAGGAGGTCATGATGGACAGAGGCCAGCGGGCCGATTTGCCCAGGATGCTAGGGTTAAACCCTACCCTTTTTCGGAGGACATCCTGGGATTTTTAATGACCACAGAGAGTCAGGACCTCGGTTTAACATCTCACTGAGCAGTATAGAGTCCACATTAATATACTGGGGCATTAGGACTTCCACAGACCGCAGGTTGAGGCCTCACTAACACCACTTCCGGCAGCAACCTAGCTTTCCCATAAGGTCTCCCATCCAGGTACTGACCGGGCACAGCCCTGCTTAGCTTCAGTGGGCGACCATGTGAGAGTTTTAGAGAGCGAGCTGCCGGCCCTAACTAAATGTTTAATGCAATAATGCTCCAGCAAGCTCAGCAGATGAAGGGACTAATAGTAATAAGTGTGTGTGTGTGTGTGTGTGTGTGTGTGTGTGTGTGTGTGTGTGTGTGTGTGTGTGTGTGTTTGCACTGCAGTGGTTTGAGTGAGATCGAGGGCCGTCTGCCGCGGGCCAGGCTGATTCTGCTGTGCCGACATGAGGCCGTGCACAAGTGGATGAACACCTGCGATCACCTGATGTACCAGGCCCTCGTGGAGATCCTCATCCCGGACGTCCTGAGACCCATTCCTAGTGAGTTACAATCTGTATACAGTAGCTCAGGGGTGTCCAAACTCGATCCTGGAGGGCCGGTGTCCTGCAGATTTTAGCTCCAACTTGCCTCAACACACCTGCAAGGATTTATCTAGACTGCCTAGTAAGAGCTTGATTAGCCAGCCCAGGTGTGTCTGATTGGGGTTGGAAGTAAACTTTGCAGGACACCGGCCCTCCAGGAGCGAGTCTGGACATGCAGTAGATCATTATTGAGCAGATCCAAACATTACTATTAAACATCTGCTCAAGAACAGTCAGTCATTCAGTTTCCTTCAGCGTAGTCACTTGTTTATCTTTTTAAATCTCCGTCTGTGTTCATCAGGTGCCTTGACTCAAGCCATCCGTAACTTTGCCAAAAGCCTTGAGGGCTGGCTCACCAATGCCATGAGCAGCATTCCCCCGAGGATGATCAATACCAAGGTATCAGTGTCTACAGCGTTAGCTCTTCTTTTACATCGCTACAGTATCGATGAGCTGCTCTGCTTGCTGTAGAAATCCCGAAGAGTGTGTGTTGTGTTGTGTTGTGCAGGTTTCCGCTGTTAGTGCCTTCGCTCAGACCCTCCGCAGATACACGTCCCTGAATCATCTGGCGCAGGCGGCTCGCGCAGTCCTGCAGAACACCTCGCAGATCAACCAGATGCTCAGCGATCTCAACCGGGTCGACTTCGCCAATGTGCAGGTATGCTGAGTGTCCGCAAATAGGATTGTAATATAGTGATGTGTTGTGCTCATTCACTGCGCTCTGAGTTTACCAACTATGACCACTTCTGCTGCGGAGAACACGCAAATGTGAAAAGGCTCCATCGGTATTAAACACAGCCGATTGGCCATTGTGTTCAGAAGCTCAGCAGACTGACTGTGATTGGCCGTAAAGGTCATCGGTGTACCCCTCTTCACCACTAATCACTGAGTTGGACACTGGAGGGTTTATAAGTCGTGTGGATCAGCTTGTCTGTCTATGAGTTGGCGGATCTATCTGGCTATCATTCATTCATTCATTTTCCTTTGACTTAGTCTTGTTTTACACAGCGAATGCCCTTCCAGCCACAACCCAGCACTGGGAAACACCTATTCACACACACACACACACTCATACACTACAGCCAATTTAGTTAATCAATTCCCCTATAGCGCATGTGTTTGGACTGTGGGCGAAACCGGAGCACCTGGAAGAAACCCACGCTAATGAAGGTGGCAACACCATAATTCTCTATGCAGAAAAACGTTGCCTAAGACATCCATTCATTGCAGAAAACACTTTAGTTATTAAAGTCTTGATTAAGCCAAATATCTAACCCTAATCAAACACACCTGATCAAACTATTTGAGTCCTTCAGGCTTGTTTGAAACCTGCAGGTAAGTGTGTTGGAGCAGGGCTGAAACTAATCTGTGCAGAGCTGCGGCCCTCCAGGAACTGGTGCCTTAAAGAGATTTAAAGGGCCATGAAAGCCCCTCGTTTCAGCAGGGTGTTTTCACACCTCTACTTTGGAAAAAGTCAAAAAAGTGGGCGTGTCCAGCTCTGTTTAGGGGGAGTGTCGGAGAAAGAAAAGAGGGATGGTGTGGGAGTGTCTATTTGGGCAGGCGCTAACTTTCAGAGTCAAAACACACACACACACACACAGGGGAGAAAGTGATGTTGTTTACCCTACATGGACATCTGTAGTCGAATTATTTGCCAAATTATTAAATGGTGGACTTTAACTGCAGTTTGGCTCTTTCATTCAGGGAATTCATTCATGCCTCTCGCGACAAACCAGATATTTGATTCGAGGAGCTGCTCTAAGCGTGTATTTTTCATGCAATGTTTGAGACCGCACGGCGAATGAGAGAAAAAACCCTCCGCATTTCCCGGAAACTTAGATGCACTCGGCAGGTAGCGTCAGAAAGCCGCGTGTTTTATCTCAGTGCAATAGTTAACTTAGTTCGATACGAACAAACTGAATAAACAAAGAGCACTGGTCGCTCACTTACCAAATCTGTAGAGACAGGACAATCACCAGCAACTAGAGCCGCGTCTTTATTAAGAGGAGACTACAAGCGAATCCGGATCTCAGCGTTTGCAGATGAGAACAGCTCTCAGGTAAACAATGTTCCTCCTTAGACACGTAAGTTATTGTTGTGGAGCGTCGCGTACACTGTTAATCCACACGTGACTCCAGCTGCGCTCTCACAGAGAGAAAATGAAAACAAAACTTCACTGCAGCAAACTATAAAAGCAACACTTCACGCTTGTTTTGCCAACACAACGTGGCGTCTCTGCCGTCTAAACACTGTGACAGTAATGAATATTAATGAAGTTGCACAATAGAGCGTGCTGATTGGTTTGAACCAAGCTTTACTCATGCATTAATGCAGCACACTGTAAGACGTAATAAGACACACTCTGGCACAGACGTCCAGTCTGCACGCTGGAACACACGCTATTATGTCATGGCCGTGACGCAGCTTCAACAATTCGTTTCAAACCGGAAGTACGAATTTGCTCGAAATAACACAAAAACAACCAATTTACACTTTTTAGTGAGATATAGGTGTCCTAATAGTGTTTTTAGCAGTGTGGGACACATATACCACTGTCAACAGCTCAAACACATGTGTTTTGGTGTTTCGTGACCCTTTAAGTGTGCTGACGGTGTGTCCTCTTACAGGAGCAGGCCTCATGGGTGTGCCAGTGTGAAGAGGGTGTCGTCCAGCGCCTCGAGCAGGATTTTAAGGCCACCCTGCAGCAGCAGAGCTCACTGGAGCAGTGGGCCGCCTGGCTGGATAACGTGGTCACCCAGATACTGAAGCCGTACGAGGACAAGCCCACCCTGCCCAAAGCTGCACGCCAGTTCCTGCTCAAGTGGTCCTTCTACAGGCAAGACCTGAAGACTTTTCACTCTTGCTTTGATTGTGTATGATCTGAATTCATTCTCAAATCCTGTGTGAAGTCTCTGAAGTGTTATCTTGAGAAGTCATATCTTAAGGCTGGTTTATACTTCTGCGTCGAGTGATCGGCGTGACCCATGGCGCAATCCAACCTACATTTTTTTAGTTGTAATTTCACTGCACCTTTAAATCAAGTCTTGTCACACACACAGCCGCACGCCCCGTATGAAGCTGCAGCATGCATTGACTGTGGCTCTCTTACAGCTCTATGGTCATCAGAGATCTGACCCTCCGCAGCGCTGCCAGCTTCGGCTCGTTCCACCTGATCCGGCTGCTGTACGACGAGTACATGTTCTACCTGGTGGAGCATCGCGTCGCCCAGGCAACAGGAGAGACGGCCATCGGAGTCATGGGCGAGGTACAGAGCGCTGTTTGTGCGGCTCAGCAGGAGCTGTAAAGAGCTGTGGAGTCACTCTTTCTCTCTAATTGCCATTTCTTTGTGCTGCTCCATCTGTTGCAGTTTCAGGACCTGAACACCATGTCACCTGCCAACATCGACAAAGGTAAGCCTGCCAAAGCTCAGACTGCAAGCTGAGAGCGCGTTACGCAATTACATTCCAGACTAACAAGCCCGGCCACTTTAGACCAGTCGGGGACTCTCAGACATTGTCACAAACTTTAGGAGCAAAATTAAATACATCACAATCTTCGGGCGGTACTCTGGAACACTAACCGCTTCAAATGTCCCGAACCGCCTTCGTCTTGTGCAATGCCAGAAAAAGTGCTCTGGGTTTCCTGGGAACTTTGTATATTTCACAACTAGTGGTGTAACGGATCACGCATCTCACGGTTCGGATCACATGACGGCTCTTAAGTCACGGATTGGACCTTTTTTTGGGTCAGCCAGAAAGGGGAGGAGACAAATGTAATTTGCTTTCTATTTATTACAGAAACAGCACTGCAAGACACTTTTGGTTTGAACAAACAGAGCTTAGAAGCTGCGCATTTATTAACAATAAATGAAGAAATAATCAACTGAATAAAAACAAACTGCAGAATATCCAGTGCTGTGAAAAAACACTGTTACTGCTGATCACCTGTACAACCCATATTCATTATTAGGCTCATCTTCAATAAATGATTCAGTTTTTCCCTCATTAATCTTCATGTTTCATTGCTGATGATCATTGCTGAAGTATTTAGTGGCGTATTTATGATGGCGTGTTGTCGCCACCTACTGGTTAAATAATGTAACTGCTGTCTACTTTCATTTTTGAGCGTCAAGTTAAAAGCATATGACGGTGATTTTATCTGTATCATAAACATCAGTGGTTTTATCTGAACTATAAACTGTTCTCCCAGTACTTGACTGTAACTTCATCACTAACTCAAAACACTAAAGACTGAATCTCTTTCTTGACAGATTATTAAACATATGCAGATCAGCATCATTTATAATTGATGATGCGTGGGTGTTGAGATCCTGATCTTTTAATGATGTAATGCATTAATGCAGGCTTAACAAATAGTATCAACTCCTTTTAAAACAACTCTCTCCTATCAGTCCTTACTCTCATCTAGCACCTCAGAGTTTGTCCAGGGGCCATGAATGACATATTGCTCTCTGGTCCAAACACAAGCCGACAGGAGGCGACCACACAGTTGGTTTTCATCAGTGCAAGTTGTTTGCCACCACCTTAGTCCCAGCCTTTGGACCAGGGGTGCGCAGCTCTGTTCCTGGAGATCTACCTTCCTGCAAAGTTCAGCTCCAACCCTGATCAAACACAACTAAATCAACTACAGTAAGTAGGATCAGAAAGAGCACTTGGGAAATTAAAGGCAGGTGTGTTTCATCAAGGTTGGAGCTAAAGTCTGCAGGAGGGAAGATCTCCAGGAACAGACTTGGGCACACTTGCTCTATATTGACCTACATCCGTAGTGCGCCAACTCGGTTTTGGATGGCCAGTGTCTTGCATAATCGTGCTACACCTTGCTTCAACACACCTTGATTAGCTTGTTCAGGTGTGTCTGATTGGGGATGGAGCTGAACTCTGCAGGACAGCCTCCAGGAACCAATTCAGGCACCCCTGTCCTACATTTGATTTCTTGCTGGATGCCCACACTGCAAAAAAGCCTTTTAGCTTGGAGTTTTTGTCTTGTTTCTTGTCCAGATATCTCAAAACTCTTAAATCAAGAAGCTTTTTCTAGACGAGGACAAAATATTGTGTTGATTTCAGAAATAATGAAGTGAGTTTTTCCCTGAAACGAGCTGAATAATCTGGAAATAATCTTGTTTTTTCTTTTGACGTGAGATTATTAAGGCATTTCTTTCATAACTGAACCGGTTTTGATTCTCGTAGATGAGGTGAGCGAGATGGACAGCGATCTGGACGAGGAGATGGAGGAGGCGGACGAGCCACTGGCCAAGCGGGAGAAGGTGGAGGCGGACGTGATCCAGGTGCTGCAGGTAGGGGCGATGGAGGATGGCAGCAGCGCGGTGGTGGGCATCGTCCAGCCGAGCATGATCAACTCTCTGCCCCCGACCACCAACAATCACAGCGAACACATCCTCAGCACCGGAACCAGCACTATCCGCCATGTGGGAAACACCTACGCCTCCGTCTAAACATCTGCAGCACCACTACCATCTCCACCAACCCGCAACACATCCCTTTTCATCACAGAATCTACACGTGATGCTTCGTCCAATGGTGGGATCATCTGCAAACTCCCACATTGCTGATTGTAGAAGTGGAACGCCCTGATGCTAACACACACACACACACACACACACACACACACACACACACACACACACACACACACACACACTGAATCCACGCCACCGGATCTATCAGGGAAATGTTGATGATTCTGGAAAAAAATAAACTACCATTTGCCTAGTGGATATATATTTATCACTTCTCTATTACTGTACTGGTCATTGTTTACAGTTTTGTTTAGAGTAATTGGCCAAACGTTGCTTGCCGTTGAACTCTTCGCTGTTCGGTTAGGGAGTGGACAGTCTCGCTGTATAACTGTGCTGCTATAATGGAAGCAGGCTAGACCACGTGTAATGAGCTCGCCTTTTCACCTTCTGTACTTCTGCAGTGTGAGTGTTCCCGATTGCCTTCTGTTTGTAGATTTAGTCATCTGGTAGCTGGAAGAGGAGTTGTCGCTTTATTGTGTGGTTGTACATATATGCTGCATGTGTGCGAACTGTTGTTGTGGGTCTTGGGAGTTTTTGTTGCTGGACCAAAAAACACAAGAGTGAGAGAGCAGCTGTCCTGCGTTGCCTCTCGCGTTTGTGCGATGTTGCAGAACAGAGCGAATGTCAGGGATTTTATGTACCTCGGGTTCATCTTAGTGCCTTAAACCCAAACAACAGCTTTTCATTTGGTCTGAACTGCTGAAGCGACACTGAGGAGGCCGTCATGGCTGTCCTGAGAAGCAGAGGATATTCAGAATCCGGCTGATTCATCACCTGTAGGAAAGTTTGGCTTGAAGTGCGTCTGTCGCTGGATTACTGCTCCCTATCTGAATGTGTGTGAATCTGGCCGAGGTGTGTGTGTGTGTGTGTTGTTGTGGTGTTTGTATCTTGTCGCCCTACCTCACGCTGGCACTGCCAGCCTTAGACACATGTCTGTTGTGTGTCTTCTTTGCTGACCTGTCGTTTTTGTTTAATTTATCATCGGTTAGCTCAACCCATTGCGAAAGTCAATACCTGGACCAAAGTTTTGGGTCTCGTTCACTACATGAGCAGTTCTTAGTTTGAATTGCTTTACTGGTAATGTAACGTTTACTACTGATGATTTACTGAAGATGATTTCTCCGTTGTGCATGTGTAGATGATTTACCAGTAGATCTAGGTTGTTGTTTGTTTGTTTACTTTAGTTTAAGGTTTAATGAGTGTGAAACTGGAAAGAGGACGTGAATCTGATGTGCCAGGATGGACGGTCTGTTCTTCTGGGAGTTATAATTAAGCTAAGATTTGGAGAAGGGTATAAACTGAGGTCGGAGACAGCTCAAAGTGGGTGGAACTTGAGCTTCAAGTAGGCTGTACAAACCTGGAACTTATATTTATTTAATGTCTTGTACACGACACAGAGTCCAATATTGTGCTTTATGAATGTGTGCACCTCCACCAACCCTAAACCCAACGTCACGGTAACCTGTTGTGCGTTATTAACGTCTACTACAACCCTAAACAAAACGTCACGGTAACCTGTTGTGCGTTATTAACGTCTACTACAACCCTAAACCCAACCTCACGGTAACCTGTTGTGTTATTAACGTCTACTACACCAACCCTAAACCCAACGTCACGGTAACCTGTTGTGCGTTATTAACGTCTACTACAACCCTAAACAAAACGTCACGGTAACCTGGTGTGTTATTAACGTCTACTACACAACCCTAAACAAAACGTCACGGTAACCTGTTGTGCGTTATTAACGTCTACTACAACCCTAAACCCAACCTCACGGTAACCTGTTGTGTTATTAACGTCTACTACACCAACCCTAAACCCAACGTCACGGTAACCTGTTGTGCGTTATTAACGTCTACTACAACCCTAAACAAAACGTCACGGTAACCTGGTGTGTTATTAACGTCTACTACAACCCTAAACCCAACCTCACGGTAACCTGTTGTGTTATTAACGTCTACTACAACCCTAAACCCAACCTCACGGTAACCTGTTGTGCGTTATTAACGTCTACTACAACCCTAAACCCAACCTCACGGTAACCTGTTGTGTTATTAACGTCTACTACAACCCTAAACCCAACCTCACGGTAACCTGTTGTGTGTTATTAACGTCTACTACAACCCTAAACAAAACGTCACGGTAACCTGGTGTGTTATTAACGTCTACTACAACCCTAAACCCAACCTCACGGTAACCTGTTGTGCGTTATTAACGTCTACTACAACCCTAAACCCAACGTCACGGTAACCTGCTGTGCGTTATTAACGTCTACTACTGTGTTATTAACGTCTACTACACCAATCCTAAACAAAACGTCACGGTAACCTGTTGTGCGTTATTAACGTCTATTACAACCCTAAACCCAACCTCACGGTAACCTGTTGTGCGTTATTAACGTCTACTACTGTGTTATTAACGTCTACTACACCAACCCTAAACAAAACGTCACGGTAACCTGTTGTGCGTTATTAACGTCTATTACAACCCTAAACACAACGTCACGGTTACCTGTTGTGTTATTAACATCTACTACACCAACCCTAAACACAACGTCACGGTTACCTGTTGTGCGTTATTAACGTCTACTACTGTGTTATTAACGTCTACTACACCAACCCTAAACAAAACGTCACGGTAACCTGGTGTGCGTTTTTAACGTCTACTACAACCCTAAACACAACGTCACGGTAACCTGTTGTGTTATTAACTTCTACTACACCAACCCTAAACACAACGTCACGGTAAGCTGTTGTGCGTTATTAACGTCTACTGTGTTATTAACGTCTACTACACCAACCCTAAACAAAACGTCACGGTAACCTGGTGTGCGTTATTAACGTCTACTACAACCCTAAACACAACGTCACCGTTACCTGTTGTGTTATTAACGTCTACTACACCTCCACCAAACCTAAACACAACGTCACAGTAACTTGTTGTGCTTTATTAACATCCATTCTAATTACACCACCCAAACCCAACCTACTTGCAGCATAAGTCCCTCCCACTTGGAGGTCTCCGGGCTGCAGCGATACCTACTTGAAGATTTCAGCCTAAATGATGATGATGATTTTGTGTGTGTGTGTTTGTGTGTGTGTGTGTTTGTGTGCGCTCGACCCGTCGTCAATCGCTGTACTGAAACACTGGAATCTGGTAGTGGGACACTGGAAAGCATTAGTTTTCTTCACTACTGACGTTTGAAACTTGACCAAGTGTGTATGTGTGTGTGTGTGTGTGTGTGTGTGTGTGTGTGTGTGTGTGTGTGTGTGTGTGTGTGTGTGTGTGTGTGCAGAAGCTGCATCTTTTTTATCGATGTGTGTGTGTGTGTGTGTGTGTGTGTGTAAATCTTAATTTTCTCGTGGTTATATACTCTTAGCGTAAGAACCATCCCGTTGATTTGGAGAGATTCAGTGTGTGAGTTTCTGTGATGTGTGCAATCTGTGAAAGTCTCCTTTCCGACCACGGCTGAAGGATTTCTACTGAGATTACGTCATTTTTGCTTGTTTTTGTACTTAGAAAGCGTAGAAGAAGAAGAAGAAGAAGATAAAAGCGTTTGGTTTAGTTGGTCTGTCTCTGTGCCTGGACTACAGACGGCTCTTGGCTATTGGCTAGTTTAGTAGACGTGTTGATCCTGCGTGATGACACTCAAAGTGCTTTGTTTTGGGTCTTGCATGCCTTTTCTCGTGCTGCTACGCTATCATGAGTTCGCTTCTGTTTCCCCCGTGCCAGAAAGTACACTTCAAACCCACAGGCCTGTTTCTTGTTTTGCCAAAATGCAGAAACTCTTTGATTTAAAACAAAAGAACAGTCTCTGACATCATGCAAGGACGCCTTTCTTTTCCTCCGGTTAATATCGTCTGCTGAAATTTGCCGTTTCGCAACCTTAACTCTGGATATCGCCGCAAAAGAGACCTGCTTTTCTTCATGATATCGACATATCAAGCGTGAAGGACTGACTTAAAGACTTCAGTGCCTTTGATTTCCTTTGATTTTTCCACCAAGACCTCCAGAACCAGTTCAAGCCAATGGACGGACGGACGAACGGAGCACGTCTCCGACACACACACACACACACGCATATGCACACCCCTATTTAAAGGCACTGATCAAACGGTGACGTGAACACGACTCTATTGGGGTTTTGACCAATAACAGCACTGCACTATCATCCTCCCATTACTTTCTTTCTAGTGTACGTACAGTGCTTGGTTTCTGTGTCGTCTTATTTCAGGGGAGGGGCTTATTTTCGGGATCTTTTAAGTGCCATTTGACTGTTTACGTAGTGAGTCGTGGCCTGCTGTAGCGCGTTCAAATGCAAGCACAAGCATCGTGGTCCTCTGAGGAGCGAAACCCCCCTCAGATCTGAAGTCCTAGATGTAAATATTGAGATGAAATGGAAGGATATTTATTTACAGTCCCTCACCCTTATGCTGGTTTAATGACAGAGATGTTTGACAGTGTAAATTGTGCTATTCCCCCTCCTCTCTGACTCTTTCTCTCGTTCATTTCCGATGATGATGTACCTTACATATACAGTACAGATGTATTTTTCTTTGTTTTTTTGCGTGTCGATTTACCTCTTAGTAAATTATATCCTCTGAAAAATTGGTAAAAAAGCTTACTAATAAGTGTAGAGTGATTTGTATTGTGTATTTTACATGAAGGATAACAAAAACTGGGGAACTTTTATATTTATAAAGCGATATATTAACATTTAGTGTGTCGAACATGAGGAAAATAGAGGAATTATCCAGGACACATGTAGTTTGTTTTTTCTGAATATTTCAGACTTGAGCTCAGGCTAGCTTATTAGTGTTGTTTTCTTAAAGATTTGTGGCTTGTCTTTCAATTAATAAACCTTTTCTTGTTGAAATGAAAGGTGTTGTTCACTGGCACGGGATTAGCGTGATGCTGCTGCGCATGCCTGAACGCCGAGTCGAATGTACAACACTGAATGAAACGTCACGACTTGTGTGTTACGCATGAGAAACAGCACTGAATGAAGACGTGTAATCGCGTTCACTTCTAATTTAAAAAGGTAAGGTCGCTGGTTCGAGCCTCGGCTGTTTCTGTGTGGAGTTTGCATGTTCTCCTCGTGTTGGTGTAGGTTTGCTCAGGGTTTCCGCCACAGTCCAAACACACGTGGTTCAGGTGAATTAGGTAGGTTAAATTCTCAGTAGTGTATGTGTGTGTTTCCCAGA